TGTGTCTGTGTGTCTCTGTCTCTGTCTGTCTGTCTGTCTGTCTGTCTGTGTGTGTGTGTGTGTTTGTTTGTTTGCTTGCTTGCTTGCTTGCTTGTTTGTTTGTTTGACTGTTGTTTGTTTGCTTGTTTGTTTGTTTGTCTGGTTGGTTTGTTTGTTTGCTTGTTTGTCTGTTTGTCTGGTTGTCTGGTTGATTTGTTTGTTTACTTGCTTGTTTGTTTGTTTGCTTGTGTGTTTGCTTGGTTGCTTGCTTGTTTGCTTGTTTGCTTGTTTGCTTGCTTGCTTGCTTGCTTACTTGCTTGCTTGCTTGTTGTTTGTTCGTTGGTTTGTTTTTTTTCGTTCGATCGGTCGGTCGTGTTTTTGTTTGTTTGTTTTATGTGTATTTGTGTTGTTGATTTGTTTGTCCATCACCATGATTGGAGTTTTTTGTTGAGTGACTTGTGGCCTTACCAGCCTTACCTATGTTTGACTGTCGTCCCCACAATAGAATAATCAATAGAGTGTCTTGCCGGTATTGCATCGGTGTACGCGCATGTGAAATCATGTGAATGGATCACGCACACACAAGTTAACTGTTAGGGACTGTTAGGGGCTAGCGATCCAACAGGACTATCCTGGACGCGGTGCTGCCTGCGGCAGAGGCGGGGGGTCGACACGAGCTGCTAAAGATTGCGAAAGATGTTTCCAACGACGGTTAGGCTCGTTGGTGGCTTTACGAGCCCCTTCAACACCGGGAGCTATGGAAATGGGGCACTGTCGAAAAATCTGGGAAAGTTCCCTTTAGCCGCTGGCCCTTGACCCAAAAGAATAAGCTTTATACTGTTCAAGGGGCAGGGGGTTTCCATGAGACCCTTGGAGTCGAAGCCACCCAGGCCTTGCGATCCTGCGCAAAGTCGCCGAACGCACTGGCAGCCACCCGTCGGAAGGGATCTGGATTCTAGAGTCTAGAGCCATTCTGGAGGTGTTTCGGTGCTTCGTGTGCTTTCTCGCAGCTGTTCGACTGCAACTGCGCTTTGGGCGGGGTGTCCGAATGTCCCCAGGAAGCCGTGAAGGCGGCGAAACAGGGCGCCAAGAAGACCCAGCAAATGGTGGCGAAGAAAGGCTGGGCTTCGAGTCCCGAGTTCAGGGAGTCCAGGGGATGCTGATAGCTGAAGCACTTTCTAAGCAATGCTTCAGAGCACGCAGAAGCTACGTGCCATCACTGAAGCCGGGACCACACGAATTGTGCACGGGCCTCGCAACTTGTTTTTTGCAAGGGCCACCGCGTGGTCGCCAGGACGTGCTGTCCACGTGCCACCCAGCCGACAAGCACGCTCGCCGGACCCGGGTGCGGTAGGCTTCGCAAAGTGGCTCGAAGCGGTGGAGAGGGCACTTCGGGACTAGGCGACGAAGCAGCGGAACTCTTTCTATTTGTTGAATGCTGGTTCGCAATATCTTGTGCATTACATGCACTTTTGGCGGCAGAGCTTGGAGTTACGAGGCCCAGAGCCCTGGCCAGAGCCAACGCCTCTTTTGGGGGGTCTCTGGGCCTTGCTAAATGCTCAGACGAAGCCGCCAGTAAGCCCAATGTTTTCCTCCGGGCCCAAAGTCGGCAGGAGGGGACATGGGAGAGACGAAAACCAAGCTGCGAGATTGATGCATGCTCGGCGATTGAAACACACCATTTGCAATCACAAGTGTTTGGTGACCACCATGACAAATAGCAGCAGCAGCAGCAGCAGCAGCAGCAGCAGCAGCAGGGGCAGCAGCAATGCTAGTAGCAGAATCCACAGCACATGCAAGCCACTGCTCAGAGTCTCGTGGTTGGTGCGGAGGTTGTCCGGCCAGATTGAAGCATTGTAGTAACAGTCGTAGCTTTGGTAGTATATCTAGCTAGTTTCCCGGCATGCCTCCACATTCACCTCCGTCCCTTCATTCGAGTCTCGCCAAAGCCTGTTCGGTAGGAAGGGGGAGCGGAAGCGGGCTGCGTGCATGACGGTTGGGCTGCCAGAATTCCACCAAAAGCCGGCTTTGTTCGCCCATCTCTTTGCTCGAGCCTTCCCTGTCCCACCCCAGCCGTCGAATGGCCGGCCATGCTGTGGGTGGAGGGAGGCCGGAGGACCGGATCCGCCGCACTAGCTCAGGGATTCTGCAGAGCAATGTTGAATCGCTTGAGAGGCTCGAAGCTATTGCTGTCTCATTTTCTGGGCGACAGCATATTGAGTTGTGTAGTAAAGCTACACGCGCGGAGGCAGTGTGTCTGTGTGTGTGTGTGTGTCGTTGGTTGTGTCCTCTGGCATGTTTGCGAGATTCCGCGAGTGCGGTTGCATGCGTTTCGAGCTCTTCTTACTCGGTCAGCTGTCTGACACGGCAATTTTCGTGTTGTTTTTGCTTTTTTTCAGCGTAAGTCTGCAGCCTGGACTCCACGACATATCGACGCCGTAAACTGGAAACCCCTGCAATTCGCTCTGAATGTCAAAGAGAAGCTGCACTATGATGTTGGTCGGTGCTGCTGCTCAGTAGTTGCTTCAAGTGACCACCGGGTGTATCAGACTGCATCGCTGTTTATCTACTACAGTCTCGGCCTTGGCAGTTCGACCTGAACACTCCACAAGTGGACTTCGCACCATGTCTAGCTTTCGTGTTTGTTTGGCGTGTAATGATCATCAGCTTTTCTTGCAGGCCCCAGATGAATCCATCCGAGAGCGCTTCGTATGTCGAGGCTTGCTGAGATCTGCTTCAGGAGAATGTGGGGCACGGGGCTTGAAGCGGGCTCGGGGCCGCTCACTATTCAATCTGGATTTTTGTTGAAACATCGGGCCTCGGGGTTGGTCCTGTTACTAGTTTGCGTGTGAGTAGCAGCTTTGTCAGCGGTGTCCAGTCAGCTCTTGGCAGCGAAGTAGCTTGTGGAAGGACGAAGGGGGTGCGAGACTGATGGATGATGTCTCTTACATTGCTGGCTCTCTGTTTGATAGCTGATTCCACTGTCTGGGCCCACTGTCTGGGCCCCCTTGCCGGCTCCGAGGGCTTGCGGTCTCAGGGATCTCTAGCACAGCTCTCCTATATAGAGGCAACTGCAATCCCGAAACGCTGTTGATCCCTATCCAACGCACAGTCTCCGATTTCCAGCTTTGCGGAACGCAGTGGTAGCTGTCCTTCGGGTTCTGGGTTGTGTTAAGTCACGGAACAACTAACAGGCGTTTGCACAATGCTGGAAGGCTTGAGGCCAAATATTTCCTCTTGCATGGACAGCCGTCGTTACCATCACAACCATGATGAATGCTGTGTACAGAGTATCTCCATTTTTGCAGGGGACTCCATTGCAGACTCCGTTGGAACCTCCGTTCAAGACTGTTTTGGAGACTCGCTTGAGACCTCCCTCCTTCAAGACTTCCGTGCACACCGTGAACAACACCACGTCGTCGGACATCGCGGAGTGTCCGAGCTGGAAGGAGAGGACGATCCTGTTTGTGGGGGACTCTATCGAGCGTTACATGATGAAAGCCGTGTTCCCACGGTGTCCCGAAAAGGGCGGAGGGGTGGTCAGCCACATGGACTGCTGGGATGCAGACAGGTTGCTACACGTCCTTTACATCTTCAACAAATTTGATGTTTCCATGGAGGGTCTGTGGCACAAAATCGACAGTAAGTCCAAGTTTGAAACATTCACAGAGGCACTTCGGAACTTGACTCTCGGACTCGACGTGCATGAGATCTGGCTTGGGACAAACTTCTGGACGCTGGCCCGCCTGAGCAATCATAATCAAACCCTTCTAAAAAGCATGGATAACGGCAGCACGGACGTAGCGACTGCTTATGCTGAGAATCTCACCAAACTCATGAACACAATTCAGAAACTGGTCCCGAGCAACCGGCAGGGTTATCTGCAACGCTTTCCAACTAGAGACACCATCAAGCAGGGGGACTATTGGTGGGGAAACCGAGTGCAGCAGTTGAATGCCGCTGGTACAAAGGCTGCTGTTGCACTTGGATGGCGTGTCTACCGAACATCCGAGACTCGATACATCCTACAGATGCCGTCCTGGTCCTTTCCAGACACCGGACACCGGGCTACAGACCAAGCCTACCAGGCCCTTCCTGGCAGACGCCCAAAGCCTTTCTCTCCTTGTGACAAAGTGCTACTGTAACTATTCTGTGACGCTCTGTCCTTCTGGACCTGGGCAGCTTGCCGTGGCTCAAGATCTTCGCCTGCAGGAACATACTTACGCGCTTCGAAGCTTCGGATACCTTTGCGAGTTAGCATTGCTTGGACGTGTGCGCCCATGTGTGGCGTTCAATCTACGATCTTTTGATAACGTTTCTATTGAAGTCGGTTTGGACATTCTGGCTCCACAATGCGAAGTCCACACATTTCATCCTTGCAATGACTCAGACAACACTTTAGGGCAGAGATATAACTTCAACGAACACTGCATTACCTGGTCTCCCAGCGGGTTCGTGTCAACCATGGCTGCAAAAGGGCTGGGACACAAGCACGTGGATGCCTTCATGATCGATGCGCAAGGACAGGAGACCGTCATCCTGCGGCACCTGCAAACCACAGGCTTTCTACAAGAAATTGACCAGCTGCAAATCAATTTTTATTCTGTGGACAGCATGGAGGTCTGCTTGGAGATGTTGATTCGCACCGGATTCGAGGTGAAGTATGCCCGGTGTGGCGTCCCATGCTACAGCTGGCTGCAGCTTGCAATAGCTCCCGAAAAGACGATCCATCAGCATCACGACATGACAGGTTAGCTGAGACTCAGACTGTGTTGTAGACCGTATAGAATTGTGCGTGTATGTAGAGTTCCTTCAGGAAGTAATTCTGGTGAGTGCATGGTTTGCGTAATGTTATGCGGCGACCTCGTTGGCAAGACAGACCCGACTCCGCATGCCGAAGCTAGCTGAGAGACGCGCTTTTCACTCTCCACGCAGGCCCAACGCTCGGACGAAGATCGGAAGCCCCTGCTCGCGAAAGGTTTGGAGACGTGGGAAGGCAAGTGGGAAGTCTTCCTTGAATGTAGAACTGAAGGTGGCTGCGAACTGGAGATGCAAGCCAGGGTGCTTAATTGAGTTTGGGGGTTCAAGATATTGGGTCGAGGGCCCGAACAGCAATTCAGCAGCAGCAGCAGCAGCAATGCTTGGCGTCGCAGCGGCTACATGATAACTGACGGTCGAACACTGTACAAGCGCTCGCTGCGAGCAATATCGCAGTAGGCATGCTGATCGGTCTGATCAGAGTGAGCGCTTGTGGGATGTGCCTGCCCAGCAAGATAATGTGAAAATTGCGGTTGGTGTTCATCAGAAGGGACAAAGACTTCAGAGTCGACCTCAAGCAGCACATCCATAATCATAATCTGTCAACATGTCCGAAATCGCTCACCAATGTATCGTGGTCGTCATGATGCAGACGGTAGTTATGGTCATGATCGCCGTCGTCAAGAATCATCATGGAGATGTTGATGATTCGGAAGACGGTGACAGAATTGTGCCGAACATCGTGGTAAGTGAGGTTCTTCTTGGCAGCCTGCCATTGAGCACGATAGTTTAACGCGATAGTGACAATCGCTTTGCAATCCCAATAGCAATGGGTATTGCACCGCAAGTTCCTACCAGCGTTGATAAGAGGATATAAGAGGGATTGGCAGTGAACATCTCCAGCCCGATCTGCAGTTCTTCCCTAAACCCAAAACCCCTAAACCCGTAGCCCTTTGCTAGGCTCCGGCTTTGTCTGGTCGTTCTCTGTGTTAGGACCAGGACTGGGCTGGGCGGTCCGTGGGGGAATTCTCGCATTGGGAACATCTTCCCTCAGGGGCAAGGGGAAAGTTCCAAAAACTGCAGGGAACTTGTCCGGGATAGGATCCGGAGCAGCCTCAAGCATGCACTCGTGCCCAAACTGAGCTCTGCAGCGCAACTGCCGATCCTACCCAACGACTCCGGACCCTCTCCCGAAAGCCAAACGCTCCCCAAGCAAGGGCTTCAAAGTTCAAAGGACCCTAAACCCAAAACCCTAAAAACCCTAAACCCAAAACCCTAAAAACCCTAAACCCAAAAGACCTTAAACCCAAAGGACTCCTGGTCTGCTTAGCCGACACTGATGCCGGCTGCCTGCTGGTGGCGGGCCAGTCTGGCTCGAGGCGTCGTCCGGCACTTCTGGGCTTGAGGGTTTTTTTTTTTAGGGCCTGTTAGGGCTCAGGCCCAGGCCTTGCTATGGCCAGAGTCCTGGAACCCTGACCCATTTTGGGCAGGTCTTATGCTTGAGAGCAGGAGTACACCACTCAAGGAATGGTGGGTGTGCCACCGAACCTTTTCATGAACTGAGCCCTCAAGTCCAAGAAGCTCCTCCGGCCACAAGGTGGGGCTATGCCCTTTTGCCGCTGCAGGCGATTTTGGCAAGGGCTTCTTTGCAGAGCTTTGGGCTTTTGGGGTTTAACCCTTCCGATTAAAACCCCAGACTCTCGACTCCAAAACCTTCCACAAACCCCAAACCCTGCGCATTCACGCGCTTGCACCTGGACATCAGCCATGAGCGGCACTTGGGGATCCAGTTTGTCTAACAAGGGTATTTGCGCACTCATTATTCTGGCCGCTATACTAGAGTATGCTGTAGTAGCGTTGAGAGGCTTGATCCCGATCCCCTGCCTGAAGGGCTGTCAGAAGTGGGCTCGAGTCGAAGGTCTTGATCGATTGCTCTGGGGCTCGAGCACGAACCCTGAGCGAAAAGACACTCAATCAACGATTCCCGCCCCCCAACTGGGAACCCCTTTTTGTCTGGGACAAAGGACGTCCTGTCTGTCACAAAGCGCCTATAAGAATTCCACTTAGCACTGCAAGGCTGTGGCCTACAGTCCTGACCCACCGCAGACCCGGAGTCGGCTGGCAGGTCTTCTTGATCCCCGTGCTTTTCATGGCGCAGGCAAGGCGCAGATCCCGCCGAGACCCTGCACCCCTAACCCTGCGCCTCGGAAAACTTGGGCTTAAGCCCCTCAAGGCCCGAAACATCATCGCCAACCCAACCCTTGCAACGGCCATACTTGATGCGTCCCTAGAACCCAGCGACAGCGCGCTGCATGCAGCAAGGGATCGGCTGCCTGAAGCTCCAAAGACCCGCCATGTCCCCGCATTTCACGGCCACGAGTTTAGATTTGAGGGTTAAGCCAACCCCTCCGCTGCCCCCCAAATCCTGCAGGATCTGACCGTGCGGCTCGGTGTTTGCACGCAGCAAGGCCCACTGGGTCACAGGGTGGTGTTGGTGGATGTGTTTTCCGAGGCGCTAATATAATATAACATAGTATAGTATAATATAATGATATAATGCAATATAATAAAACTCATACATACATACATACATACATACATACATACATACATACAAACACACACACACATACACATACACATACACATACATACACATACATACACATACATACACATACACATACATACATATACATACATAAACATACATAAACATACATACATACATACATACATACATACATACGTACATACACATACAGACATATACACATATACACATGTACACATGTACACATATATATATACACACATATATACACATGTATACACATATATACACATGTATACACATATATACCCATATAAAAACAGGTATACACATATATACACATACATATAAACATATATAAAAACATATATATATATATACATATACACATATATACATATATACATATATACATATATACATATTTACATAGATACATAGATACATAGATACATAGATACATATATACATATATACATATATACATATACACATACATACATATATACATATATACATATATGCATATATGCATATGTACATATCTACATATCTACATATCTATATATATATATACACATATAAATATATACATATATATACACATAAACATATAAACATATATACATATATACATATATGCATATATACATATCTACATATCTACATATCTACATATCTACATATCTACATATCTACATGTCTACATATCTACATATCTACATATCTACATATATACATATATACATATATACATATACACACATACACATATACACATACATACATACATATATGAATATATATATATATACATATACATATACATATACATATACATATACATATACATATACATATACATATATTTTTTGCTTTGCATGCTTGCAGAGGTAATTCGCAGCTTAATTAGAAATTTTGCAGAAGGGCCGACACTTATGGAAGGGCCCGGAGAGCATATGACCCCAAAACGAGGCGCAACAATCCTTACACTGTATCCTTTCAGGACGAGGGCCCGGGCTTCAAGCAAGCTGCATGTGCCATGCTCTCATATCCTACTTCACGGGTCTCGTGCACACCTTCAAGGTCCGCATACCCGGACTCAAGTTCTACTTGGCCAAGCTTCGCCTGGACGTCTCGCAGTGTCTCGAAGACTCTACTCCAGGAATCACTATGCTCTCAGGCATTCCTGTCAGCTAATCCTCGTTGGAGAAGCCGCGCTGGGCCTCGTAGAGGCCATCCAGAAGTTGTTCGCTCCAGTATTCGTTGAACCCACCTTCGCAAACTTCTCGAATCTCCGCCACAGCAAAGTCAAGGATATCCATGACTTTATGCACAGTACAGCGGGAAGGGGGACATCACTGCTCGGACTTCGTCCTTGATGGTCTCGGCTCGTTCGCTGAGGTCCGCAGTCAAAAGCCTCTCACAAACGGCCTTGTGGGCTTCGTTCCAGGCCCTGTCCCTGTTATGGTTTTGGCTCTGGGTGTAGGTCCCAGCAGCCACTTGCTGTTCGGGAACCGCCAGAGTGAAGTCCTCATCAGCCGCCTCGGCGAGGATCGGAGATGTATTAGGAGGCGCGTCCTCGGTATCCTGCTTGTCTGCCGTAGAACTTGAAAAAATGGGCCCCCAGGGCCGCATTTGTCTTGACTGCATTTGCGCATGCCCTGCAAACCCTGAGTAATTAGATCGACATCAGTGCTTCCCGGCTTCACCTTCCTCCGTCCATACAGCGCCCAGAGCGCCAAGCCGCACCTCTGTCCTTGCGCAAAGAGCTCGAAGTCCTTGTGGCTCTTCGTCTCAATCTGCCTTTCACAAGACGCTTGGGATGCAACGTGGGCAGACGACAGCGCGTATGCTGTAAGGGACCGGTCGCCGGAGGAGCTGGTTCGCGAACTACGGCGGACAGCCACTCTGGTTATATGCCACCTTAGACACTCAGCAGGAGTTCTGGGTGATAGAATGACTCTGTTACTGGAGGCGAGACACAGAATGGCATTGGCATCTACCGCCTACGATCAGCTGATGCTGGACGGACATGCAAAGCTGGTCAGGCTGCCGCTCCAGCCCCTCATCCCGAACGAGAAGCTTTTCCACCTACCACTCCCGCTGACAACGGCTCAGCTTCTTGTCCTCGCTCGTAAACACGGGCCTTGGCATATTGTGAGCCACCGTACAACACGAGGAGTCGTGGATGGCCATGCTTCGGGAAGATCTTCGATGGTTGGTGCGAGGAAGAGCGGACCAATGGCCGCCGATGGATCCTCATCCTGGCCGAGATGGTGGTCTCTCCAACGGGAGTCCAAAGAGAAGATCAAGGCAGTGGTCAAGAAATGCATCAAGGAATAAATTTCCCGGAGAGAAACACGACGCTGCTCGCATGTTCTTTGGGCAATGGCCAGGCAGCTCAAGACCAGCAAGGAAGAGGCGACCTCGACCAGCTGGTGTTGCAGGCAGTGCCGCGTTGCCTTCGACACGGAAGCTAAGCTTGGTGTTCACTTTTTCAAGAAGCACAATCGAACAGCCGCATACCGCCGAGTCCTTGAAGGCACTCTGTGTAAGGCTTGCAACGCAAAGTAGTCCCTCACTCGGAGCGTCCGTGGGCAATTTGGGAGGAGGAATTCAAGTGTGCGACAGACCATCTTGTCCTTTGCGCCCGGACCCTGACCCCAACATGCAGACAGCAGTGGGCCAAACTGTTAGAGAAGTTCAAAAACACGAGTTTGCCAAACCTCAGCTACGACGATGTGCCCGCCATGTTTCGATTGGTGCGTGAACCGTGGCTTGACAAGGCTCTAGCAGCAGTTGTACGACATTGAGGGTCAGTCGCGGCCCGACTTTTTCGGGTAGACAGTTGGTTCTGGGCTTTGGAAATGGAGAGCGCTGCAAGCTTCAACCTATGCCGGTCAAAGTCGCCCCTGGTGATGAGCTTGATGTTGCGGGACTCACTCAGCATGGCCTTCTGCCTTCTGCCAAAAGGCCGCATAGCTGGGCGTGTGTTGCGTGCTCCGTGACACGGAGACTTCAGCATACAATCAGATGCAGACCTGCTCTGCTCCAACATGTCCGAATGTCTGTGCAAGTTCTTCTCCTCAGCTGCCGTTTGCGAGCATCTGCCAGCATTCGCAGCCATGGGCCGTGGATGAGTACAGCAGGGTCGCATGACGGTCAATGACCGCCTCACTTCATGTGCTGCCCTGACGCCTGACCCTTCTGGCCTGTCAATCAAAAGGTCTGGATCCGAGCGCAACTTCTAAACTCAGCATCGCTTTCAGGAGGTGTTGTTTGCCCCTGGTGTTTTCTCAGTTGCTCGCGGTGTCAGTACGCCCTTAGCCCTAAACCCGAAGCCCTAAATTCTAACCCGTAACCCTAGACCCTGCTTTGAGGCAATTGAACACGCTCAGCCAACCTCAACGGTTTTGGGTTATTTTGGGAGGGCGCTCGACGTGCTAGCCCGTGTTATTGCCTCATGCGTCTCAAGTTTCTTGTGACTCAGCAAGACTTTATTACCTAAGCCGAAACCTAAATCTCGTGCCCAAAACTACAACACCTGCCTCGCGCAAGTCTATCCATCCAACAACTGGGAACCGCTTACCTCCGGTTCTCCAGTGTACTAAGTAAGTAAGGTTTCTTTCTTCGGCGTGTCTTTTTTCCTACATATCTTTTTGGGCGGAGCGAACTCATCCTTGTGACTGTGGACACTTTCGAAGCGCAAAGGAAGTGTGAGAGCTCAGAAACGATGATTGTTACGAGGACGGCGACACCCTCCTGCATGATCCCTGTAATTGTTGACACTTTTGACAGGCAAACAATTTACAAAACCTTGAAAGATGACAGTTACGAGGATGGCGACCCCGCCCCACGTGATGCCTCAGTGGCTCCCGGCTGTTCACTGAAGCCAAGTCCATTGGGTGAGTGGTGGGGTTTCACCTCTGTCGGTGAGGACACCTGTTTTGGAACCCCGGATGCAAGAAAAAGCCGTTTAGCTGGATTGTACACATACTTACGGTCAGTGATAATTCGAGCATAAGCAAATAATGAAAATGAACACTGCTAAGTAGCGTACGTGTAACACAATAACATACAACCCAATGTTCCATTCAATCAGCTCTGTTGCCCTTTTACTACATCGTGTTTGTGCTTCATTGACATTGTGCGGCAACTCAACAAGTCGTCTGCGTGGTAGTTGCCGTATGTCTGAAAGAGACGCACCCACGAGCCCACAACACCTGTAACCCAAGCCACAAAGTGAAGCTCTGTGAAGCCCAACCTCAGTCCAGGAAAGCAAATGCAACACTTGATTTTGATTAAGCAAAGACGAACCCCGACATCTCCTTGTGAGCTGAAGGGAGACTGCAATCGACTCCAGTCTATCTATCCCTTTGATCTGCGCTTCTAGGAATTTAGGAATCTAAATCCCCTGCCTTTAGTTTCTCATGGCGATCCTGGACAGCTCATGTACATGTGGACCCCGTAGCAGTCGCGACGAAGTAGCATCCATGCTCCAGCCTCATCA